TCAGCTAAATGAAATGTAATGTAAAAATGTAATGTGAACAAACGAGACTGGGCTCTCTTTTCAGAGTATACGCTCTGTTGTGATTGGTCAACCGCTAAGAGATGTCCCGCCCCCTAGCCTATCACGTACAATTGAAGCGCAAGATTTACATTGTGATGTCACTCACTATGTTAGTGAAGTAAACCAAGGAGTCCAATGGAGGCGTTTCAGGCAGGCGGGAGAATTCTGCCCTGTGTCAGTTTCTAGCGATGTTAGCCTTTGCAGACAATTTACCTGCACAGAACACTAGCAGGAACACTACACTACAGGAAAGGGAAAACCTAAAAAAGCATAATAGGGCCTCTTTAATTAAGCATGTTGTCCTTTTGTTTATGCTCATTAATAAACGTACCGCTATACTGTTAACAAATATTCATTCATTTTATAGGGTTATATTGAGCAGTCTGCAATGTTTTTGTGCAGCGAAAGATAACCAGTGGAGGCTATGTGCTATGAGAAAATGTTACACTCACACACTGAGCTTGTTCACAGTCTATGACATGGCAGTGTATCCAGAAAAGTATCTGCATTGAAACACATCATAACACTTCTCTGGTTCTCCGAGCTCCTGGCACGGCTTTTGCCGTTAATGAAACTCCGTAAATCACCAAAAGTTGAGTCAGAGCAGCTGGAGCACATCAGAGGAAAAACCTGAAAAAGTGATTCATAAAATATGATCCAGTTTCACCAAAGCTATCTTATTGCCTATTCCCAGGAGAATGTTCAACTCTCACAAAGTTACGTAGTGTAATAACACTGATAGAGACACTATTTTCTTTGACAAGGCAGTTTTGCAAAATAGTCAAATAATGTAAGTAAGATTTGTAATGCAGAGATTTGACCACGGTTGCATTACTTGAGTAGTAGTACAGATTCTGTACAGTACTTCAGCTTCTTCTGTGTGTGTGTGTGTGTGTGTGTGTGTGTGTGTGTGTGTGTGTGTGTGTGTGTGTGTGTGTGTGTGTGTGACAGATAAGTAGAGATTTATTACATTACATACATATTGACATTTTTGCAACAATGCAAAACTCTCACCACTTCCACACTCTGACGCACACACACTCATACATGCATACACAGGTGTGCATGGAGTTGTGAGAGCCATTTGTTGAATGACGGGCTGTTTGGAGTCGAAGTGAGGGGGAGGTGGAGAGAGGTAGAAGTGGAGAAGGGAGGCAGAGGTGTGGAGGTGAAGACAAGCTGGACGTCCAGAGACAGACTGTCTTTGTGCCTGAGGGAGGCACAGTGTGTGAATGCTTGTGTGACAAGGCAGTGTGTGTGTGTGTGTGTGTGTGTGTGTGTGTGTGTGTGTGTGTGTGTGTGTGTGTGTGTGTGTGTGTGTGTGTGTGTGTGTGTGTGTGTGTGTGTGTGTGTGTGTGTGTGTGTGTGAAGGGGGTTGAGATAGATTCAGTGTTCTCTGCTCCCAGGTCTCAGCTGTGGTGTAATTGATTAAATAAATTAGTATGAAATATAGAATTAAACTCCATGAATAGGGTCACATGTTATATAGGCCTTTGTGTGTCCATGTAAGCGGATGTGTGATTAGAATGAAATATGAAATTAGTCATGATGAATAGCACCATATGCACTCGTGTAATTTCATTAACCAATCTGCTTTTTAGAGCGTTGGCATAAATGAAATCTCCACATAGTGTGCACCATCGAGCAGAGAGGTGGCAGGTTGGTCAGAGAAGGAGCTTTAAGAGTGAAAATGCTGCTTGTTTATATCCTTCCCTAATATTTGATTTACAGGATGCATAGCTCGTTGGCAAATTAAGGGAAAATAAGCATAAAATGCCTAAGAAATGTGTTTTGCCTCCATGTGACATCAATTGAGTTTCATTGATCATTTCACTTCTACTGGAACATTATTCTACGAAAAGATATTCCCTACTCTGAACGTTATGATGATAGTACTGGAGATGCTGTTAAACACATGATCATATATACTCTGGAAAATATCCAGAGAATCAGGTCTGCACATTGTCTGGAATTTCCCTTTTACACATGTAGCACAGAACAGGAGATTGTCCGTTTCAGAATTGTTCTCATTTATGGGGAATACTCAGTTTGCTTTAGGGTATGTGGTGCCTGGGTTTAGCGTGCAGCAGCCCCAACAGGATGCGTTACACCTCGGTTTGCCATTTGTTTATTGACAACCAAGTCTCTTACCGTTCCTTGAATTAGTTGGAAGGCTTTGGCGTCAGCCCTTAACGACAGACATTCAAAAACGTATTGTCTCTCCCATTGATCATTTTAATGGTGTCTTTGTGTAAACCACCTTTCTACCTCAACCTCAGACGTTTCTAGAAACTAACCCATTAAAATGCCCACATGCTTGCCCTTAATTCTCTAAACAAGAAGCAGCTCTAGACTTAGACTTAGTACTAAGGAGCTGGCAGGGTAAAGTCCGTTTAGTGTCTTGTCGGACACACAGCTCCTCTGGGAAAATGTCAGGATAATTGATGTGTCCCAATGCATGTGTGTATGGGGCTTTAGATGTCACATTGCAATGAGATTTGGTGATTTGGAAACCATGATCTTTTTTGTGTTTTTTATTTAATAATACATAGTAGATAAACAACAAAGATTTGAACCAGGGACTCTGTTTCTTGGTCAGCGCCTCAACCCCTAGAACACCAGTGTGTTCACAATAAATATTTTCCCTGGATAAAAGTAGTACAACTTTTATTCTATTATTCCATGAGCATTGTATTGTACAAAACTATTTGGGGAACATAACTGATGCGATAACATGCATGCACATTTTAGGAAATTAAATATAAAACAATGCATATTCTCTGTTCCTAGTTTTAATCTGAAAGAAGCTTCAAACTATTGGAAATAGATAAGTAGTGAGGTAGAAAGTACAATATTTGCCTCGAAGGTTTTAAAAATATTGAAGCATCCGCATTTGTTTGATTCTACATGAATTTATTCAGCTTTTTCCTTTTTTTGTCCCCTGTCTGTTTGTTTACCTCCTCCATGAATACTGTAAAATACAAACTATAAACACACTGAACCAATACACTACAAAACAACATCTGACAGGATTTGGTGACTCACTGACACACATCCTTATGAGTGGAATCAGAAGCTTCTGGCACAAACAGGAAGCTGATATAATCTAATATCAGGGCCTGTTTGAGTAGCACACATCATCTTCTCTGGCCACACTTAGTTTCAAATCGTCATGAGCTAATGACTGTATGTGTTTATTTTACTGACACAATCAGTGGGAACACAACCATGACCAAACGTATGGCCGGCAGTAAAGTGAGTGTACTGTTATTGAGTCATGAGTGAAACTATCCGGCTATGACACACCGCACATAAAATATCAGCCACAGAGAAGCTCTGTTTGCCGCACAGCAGCCACAGTGACTCACACACATATATTCACACATGCACATACTGTACACATGCAAACAAGTTAAGCCGGGGTGGCACACACACATGCACACCTTCAAGACACTTACTCTCTTATACAAGCTGAACATTCATTAAAAAGAACACTATAGATATGCACACTTAAATGTGTCTATAATTTGAGATGCTTTCTTTGAAGTCTGTCCAACATAACCTTTTGTTGGAATGATTCATTTAAAGTTGTTCAGGTTTTTAAATCTTTGCAATACATAGTTGCATTTTAACAGCCTGCAGAGAGCGGGGAATTTATTCATTTGTGAGTTAGGTTGAGAGAACAGCAAAGGTACGGCCTGTTTTGCATTTATAATTATAACTGTGTATGCAGTGTCTTGTCATTATCGCCTGGGGGTGTTTACATTGTCTGCTCACCTTCTGCACTTTTGTTCTTTTGACTGTGTGGATTTATGACTGTTACAGTTTGAACGGTTTGGTGTGCGTGGGATATGTCTCGGCTGTTTTGTGTCACAGAGGTGCTCCCTTCACTTTGTGTTCTGGTTTGTTTCTAATATCTGTTGTGCAATTGTTGCCAATAAAGTCACAGTTATGCAAATGTATCTAAGCTAAATCCAAGGAGGATAGGTTGGGTCTGAACTCCTTCAAACTGCCACATCATTATTTTTGAAGCCCTAGAGAGGGTTTAATAAGAAAAGATAAGACAAGCAATCAAGCTAGCCACTCTGTAGCGTATACCAACCAATGAATACAATTTCTCACACAACATTTGCAGCTCATTTGGTCAGTAGATCAAAGACATTTTTGAAGCAGATTAAAATCACAGCACTTAGGGAAAACCCGTCCTGCATTCATAGTTATAAACAGTATGAAAAGTTACCCTTCATCGTTAATTGTTCATGTTATGGTGTAACTTTCATTTGAGAAGGTTTTTGAAAAGTAGTTTCAAGATCAAAGTCTGCATGCATCTGAAATAAAATCAAAAAAGTTGTTTGATTTACACTTAAATAATACGTTTTAAAGCTTGTTTGTGTAGAAAAGTTATATATTCACAATGATTGCATTACATTTCACCAGAAACTCTTAAAAACGTAATACAACATGATTATGCATCTGGACATACAACTGGATTATTGTGTCTTGGATACGATATTCTTTTTTTTATCATTTTGTTTCAACAAACACAAGAAACAGATTCATGACTGTGTGTGTTTTATCTGTGGTCACTACAGTATAACAACTATTACAGCTTGTAAAACTGATTTAAATATCCACCTCTCACCGCCACATAAAGGACCTTGACCGTAGCATTAGCCTACATTGGAAACCCGTTATTATACACAGTGATTTAATGGCACCTTACCAACGTTTTACAACTTTTTTTCTCCGGCCTCTTCATTCGTTTTGTAGACAGATCTCTCTCTAAGAGTGAGTGTGTGTGGGAGAGAGAGAGAGTGGTGCTCGGCGGGTTTTCCGCCAGCAGGGTTTGGTTGATTCTCTATTGATTTGTTGGAGGGGCAGAGGCAGAGGAGGAGGAGGAGGAGGAGGAGGAGGAGGAGAAAGTGAAAGGGGAGGAGTGGAGGAGAAACCCCGGCCTGGTGAGGAAGAGTGATGTGATTTTGCGTGTTTGGGACGAGAGGAGAGCACAGAGTGATCTCAATCCTGGCGAAAGTCCGACCGTGAAGGGAGCGCACTTAAATCACGTGGGTGTGTTGGGTTAGTGCCGGACAAAACGTAAAACTATCGTCGGAGTGACTTCTCTTGCACTTTGATTTCTTCCTGCCTTTCGACCCCCTCCGCCCTGCATTCCGCGGAGCAGCTGTGTTTTCATGCGCACCCGAGGAGGAGAGGAAGGAGAGCAAAGTGAGGCAGAAGAGGCAGAAGAAGAAGTAGAAGTGAGAAGGCCTGGACACCACCCCTCCTCGCCTTTCGGAAGACTGTCCACTCTCCCCTCCTGGCCCTGCATGGACGGGGATGGGGAGAGCCGGATGCTGTTGCCGCGGGGCTGAGCGCCTCGTCTCCGCGTCTCTGGTGCGCCGCTTCCGGCCACTGCTGCTGCTGATCATCGCTGTCTGCTGCGGTGCTCAACTAGGTAACTAATTGCACTCTATCACTGCAACAAATAGTGTGTCTCTCGCTCGTGGTCGCAACTAATCTGTCATTTCCTGCACTTTGTTCTCCAGTTTCACACTATAACCACAGTAACATCATGTTTTTTTCTCTGTCTGTTGCATTAAGTCTTGATTAGAGATACTTTATTAGTTATTATGCGTGTGTATTCCATGCGGAGCTGATATTTGTGCTGGGCCCAGGGCTGCCTGACAATGGCTCTATCTCCAGCGGCAGTGCAGCAGTCTGAGCACGGATCGAGTTTCCCCTTCTCTCTCCTGGGCCGTCATTCTCCTGTCTGCCCCTTAATGACTCATGGAGGAGGGGAAGAGAAGGGAAGATAGGGTGACTATCTCTCCTCATGTCCATATAGCAGATCACAGCTTATACTCAGAGCAATATCAAACAAACCAGGATCCATTAAAGTGTACATCTGATCATACAAAGTTAGGATTAGGGCTGAACTGTTGTAAATAAGACTTAATATATTGGGAAATACAGTTAATGTTCAGTTGCATGGTGCACATTAATATAATGCGTCATATGATAGTATTGAAGTGAACGGCACTGCGTTTGAATCTGTGGTTGTTTGTTTTCTAATAATCACCAAAAGCAGAAAATCACAACTCACAATCTTATCCACATGCTGGACAGGAGAAAGAAAAAAACAGAAGAATTTCACAAAAGAAGAGTGTGTTCCCTGAAAGTTTACAAGGTGTTTGTTAGGGCTACTGATACTTAAACATAAGTATGACTCATTCTTTGTGGCAACAGACTCCATGATTTACTAACCAACTATTTACCACATTGTCTTTTGGTTTCAAATTCATCATCGCAGAGGCATGTTTAATATATAAATCAGTATAATGTCATCTATAAAAAAAACACAGCTCTTTTTGGGTGTGTGTGTTGCTGTGTGTGCAGGGGGTCGGCTGATGTGGCGGCTGTCTGTTGAGCAGTCACACCTCCAGTAATTAGTTTAACACGGCTCAACCAGCGGGACAAAACCGCCTCTGCACGAAGCCTGGTGGGAACACAGAGACCCACTTCGCATTAAAGACCCTGGCACCTTCTGCTACACATCCGTCACCGGGAAAGAATGTGTATTATTGAGTCTGTTGTTTTATTTGTTATAACTTGTGTACATATCAAGATATTTTGACATATTTTACTCCAGCCGTCGGTCCATGTGTCTCTTAGACGAAGAGGCAGGGATTTATTGTTTGCCTCATGCTTGTCAGGTCGAGAAAGAGAAAGAGAGCATGCTGTAGTGAGCTCCTGTAAAGCTTTGTATATTTTAGCTTTGAGGGATGTTTGTGTGATTTGTGTGATGTGTGTGTGTGAGAGACAGAGTGCACACAACAAGGTGATCAATAAGCACTTCACAAGCCATTCCCTCATTTGAGAGATGATCCCAGCAGATCCTTCTCTGATTTACGGAGATCAGAGAATTTTGAGAACATCAAACAGGGAGAGAGAATCGCTAAACTGAGCCGGAGAGATTCGGCTGCTGGATCTTTTGACCTCTGTCTGATGGTAGAGAGGCGGCCTCAGGATGTGTGGGAGAGAGAGAGAGAGAGAGAGAGAGAGAGAGAGAGAGAGAGAGAGAGAGAGAGAGCAGGGAATCAGACAGAGAGGGCTGAGGGCGAGAGAAGCAGAGGGCTGTATCATAACAGTACCGATGGAAGGGAAGGATTTAAGAAACAAATCTGACAACAAATGAGGCTTGAGAGAAAAGAGGAGACCTGGGAGAGGGGGAAGGAGTGAAAAAGACAGGTTCATATTGTGGTGGGAGAGGTGTGGGCACTGCTGGCTGTTTTATTGTGTCTATATTAGATACTCACCCCAGGGGATGAAATAAACCACGCCGGCATGTGTTGAACGACTCTCCTGCATCAGCTCCTCACAGGAGGAGATCTTTACACTCTTCTTTACAATATCTTCAAATCACTTCTGTATTCATCTCTTCTTTCCACAAATTGCACATTTATATGCATAGATTGGATTTTCTTTTGAAATTACTGCTATGCAGGCTTAGAAAGGACGCTTAAGAGGACGGCTTCACAGGAGAGAGATTAATGGAAAAAATGGTGCTTCATATTAATAATCAGCATGTGGAAATCATCTCTTCTTGCTTGATGTATACCCAGGCAGGCAAAAGTGCAGGGTCAGCTGCTGTGAAACTCCAGTAGATGCTTGTCATCAGAGAGGTTTCAACCTTTATATAAGTCAGCGGTTTGAACCCGAGTCCTTCAGTTACAGTGTTGAGTGTCTGCTACGTCACCCTGCTGGGAAAACATCAGTGAATGAGTGCTTCTGTGTGTTTTTAGAGCAGCTCATGATTCTGATACCCCTTCGAAAGAGAATAAACCCACTCTGATTAGATTGGGAGCGGTATTTAGGTACTGCTAGGCAGATAGGAAGGAAAAAAGGAGGCTGTTGGTGCGCCAGTCAAAGACACAATGTGTCCTCAGTACTCAGACCGTCTGTACAGTGGTGGTCGGCATGGACGGCAGGCTGTATGTGTGTGTGTGTGTGTGTGTGTGTGTGTGTGTGTGTGTGTTTCTGTGGGTTGCTGTCAGTATTTAACATGCAGGAGAGAGATTCTGAAGCGTGGTGCGAGTGTGGGTCCTACCTCTACCTTCATTTCTAAAACTCAGAGCACTGCTGCCCCCAAATGGTGGCGCCCAACTCCGCCATGCCCTGAAATCAAATAAATGTACAAAGAAAAGCTGGAATGTGCTGTTTGCTTGTGAGTTGATGTGTTACTGGTTGTGAGGTGCTGGAGTCACAAAGAACATTGTTGATATCAGTAAACACCATGCACTTTCTGTTTCTTTTTTTATTTGGTCGGCCATTAGGAGATCATACCACCATCTGAAGATCACAGACTGTGTACGTTTAACGGAAGCATAAGCAGCATTCTTTCTAAGAAAGCTATTTGTGTGTGTGTATGTGAGTGTGTGTGTGTGTGTGTGTACAGCTGCCCATACACTGCAGAACCTCTCTCTGGCCTAATCTAATAGTAGCACGCTGTGACTGATGCATTAGGTCTGGTCTCTAATCTCTCCCTCGCTCCTACTCCCTCTCTCTCTGATGATCTATGATATAAAAGGAAAGTTTGACCCCTGTTGCATTTGAAAATATAGCAACCGATAAAACATCAGGAACAATTTCAGACCATGACATTTGTTTCTAATGTGTATACATGGGCAGAATAAAGTCATTAGGATACATTTACTATTTTCAGCCTACTATGGTGTTCAAAACACTAAAGTAAAAGCTTTATCTTATGAAGGTACATTTCTGGCTTTGTATTTTATTTGGAAAAGCAGGATCATAAATACAATACCCTCTACAAATTACCAATCAAAACCTTTCCCACAGCCTTGACATTATAATTATGAGCGTCTCAAACTAATGGTAGCAGGTTTGTGTACATAGCACACCTTGACGTGTCTTGCTCGCTCCTTTACTGTATGTGTTATGTGCTCCTTGTCTTTATGAGCAGTATTATCTCACTCCTTGTGGGAAAATGTTCTTTATCTTTTCTCTCCGGCTGCTCTTTGGTTTATTACACTTCAGATTTATTACACTCCAGAGCGGCACTACTGATTCATCAAGAGTTTTTACTGGCACAGGGTTCTTTTTTTCAATTTTATTAGGTTGCATTGTTACCGACCGGTAGCATTGTGTGTTTTTAAGTTCAAAGTAACCTTAGTTTCCTTCTATGTGCACATGAGCTCTCCATTTCTAGTTAAATCCACCTCTGAGTTTAGTACATACCCACATTATCAGACTTGTGGTTGTTGTAGAGAGGGCTGGGTGATATGGTGAAAATATAAAATCACAATATTTTAAACCAACTACCATAATATCATTATTGCAATGATATTATAGGGTTGACTATATTGCTTTCAAAATCTTATTTGATAAGATTTTTTTTAACAATTATCAGTAATTTATTTAATGACTTAATTAGTGAATGGACATTATAGAACAGTTGGAACAGTCCTGTTAGTTCAGAGAATTGTATAACTTTCTGTAAATCAGCGTATAACACCAGAATAAAACATTTATTACGATATTAAAACATCTAGTGTTATATCACCATATTGATCAATATATTGCCCACCCTAGTTGTAGCTGCTCCTCTGGTTATATTACTGTTATCTGTACTATCTATCACTTTGATAACAATCTCTCCGCTCTTTGTCCTCTCCAGGTGAGTGCCAGGTGGCCACCCCTCATTGCCATATCCAGAAGTGCAACACCGACTTTGTGTCTCTGACCTATCACCTGTCTCCGGCAGTGGATGGCATTCACACTGAGTTCTGCAAGGCTTTACGTTCATACTCGGCCTGCACCCAGAAGACAGCCAAGTCCTGCCGGGGGGACCTGATCTTCCACGCGGCCATGCTGGGCATCTCCGACCTCATGAGCCAGAGGAACTGCTCCAGAGACGGGCCCACGTCCTCCACGCTCCCTGAGGTCCAACACGAGCCCTGCAACTACCACAGTCGCACCCAGCACGCACACACACACTCCCACACACACGCCCACGGCCATGTCCACACTCGGCCTGTCTACCTGTTCTGCGGGCTGTTCGGGGACCCACACCTGAGGACGTTTAAGGACAGCTTCCAGACATGCAAGGTGCAGGGGGCGTGGCCTCTAATCGATAACGACTATCTGTCAGTACAGGTCACTAATGTCCCCGTGGTACCTGGCTCCAGCGCCACAGCAACCAATAAGGTGAGAAGATATATTTTAATAGGGGAATCAAAGCGAAACAGGCTTTTGGGGTCTAATTTGTTTGTATTAAGACTGAAAGAGTATATTAACTAAGAGCAGCTGGTGTAATGGAGGTAATTGTGTCGGTAAGAGGGACACATTTTTTCAATAATGACCTTTTAAGTTGCTTTTCCTCTGCGTTAGAGTAAGAAATCGTATCAATGTGAGGCTGGAAAATACACTTGCTCTCCCTGCTCTACTTTTCTCTCTCTTTCTGTCTCAATGTCTCTCGCTTCCTTAGACTCAAGAGGTGTGAGGCCAACAGCCCGATCTTGTGACTATCTCTTGTGACTGAGGCAGTGTTGGAAACTTAGTTAACTTGGTTTATGGCTGCATATAGCCTGACCTCTAATAACATGGAATGAGATGTGTGAAAGGACCCACTGTTTACCCATGTGTGTGTTTTCAAGTATTTGTGTGTGTGTCTCATAAGTGCCACTCCTTGCACTCAGCTTAAAGCACTATGCGTGTTAAGAGTCCTTATCCCTTTATGACAAAAAGACACTCACAAACACACACACAGCTAAATGGATGGCGAGCCACACAAGGTGATCTTTGTGGTGTTAAAGAAGCTATGTTGATATTTCCCCGATGATCTACCCTCTCTAGCTTAGTCGATAGCTTTAATTATTAAAACACATACACACCCATGCATACACTTAGTCATGCACACATTGACATAAAAAAAAACACACACACACACATTAAGCAAATAGTAGGGTTGCTACACTGTAGAACTGAAGGTTTGACCTTGTGTCAGAGGTGGGGCAAGTTATTAGTCACAATTATTAGGGACACACACCCTCTCTCTCTCACACACACACACACACACACACACACACACACACACACACACACACACACACACACACACACACACACACACACACACACACACACACACACACACACACACACACACACTCACACACATTAACAGCCCTCCAGGCCTAATGGCCTGCCAGGCCTCATTCCTCACGGCTGTCATGTGAACAAAGCCGCCATTCACCGGAACTATGATGCTAGTGCTAACCGTAATGCTCACACCACACCCTGTACCCACCACTGGCTCTACTTACCACTGAGCCGTGTGTGTGTGTGTGTGTGTGTGTGTGTGTGTGTGTGTGTGTGTGTGTGTGTGTGCGTGTGTGTCAGCATGTTTGCATAGCTGTGTCAAATTACAACTTGTTAAAAAGTAATTTAGTAATTTATCAAATGTAGGGTGATGAGAGTCAATAACCTGTGTAATGGGTGAATGTTAATATTTGTGTGCGTGTGATTGTGTGCGGGTATGAGACAGACAGAGAGAGAAGTACCTTTTACCTTATCTCTAGTAATCTTTTCCAATTATTCTGGTACTTTTTCTTGATTAATTGATTAATGGTTCAAATGCGTGAATGAAAGACATTAATTTAGATGATAAATCAGTTATAAAAGTAGTTGGTGATTAGTTTCTGTCGATTAACTAAGCAATTAATTAGGGCTGCAACTGCTGATTGCGAATGTCAAACAAAGATATGTTATACAAGTAAAAGTAGTAAATCCCCAGGGTTAATAGTTGCCAATTAATTTATTTTCAATTATATAATCAAATAATTGACTGATCTTTGCAGCTCGACATTTCATCTTCATATTGTTTCCTACCTATGCTCCATATATCTGGAACAAAGTACTAGAATACTGCAGGTCTGCTGAAACTCTTACTTCTTTCAAATTCAGACTGAAGACTTTTATTTTGCCGCAACCTTGTAATAAATCAAATAACTATTCATATCTGCACAACAACTTTTATTCTTGTTATTAATACCTATCTTACTCTATTGTAGCTTTTTATTCTCCTTGCTTTTAAATGACTGTTTTGAAATGTATTTATACACCATACCTTAATGCTTTTAATGTTTTTTTTTCTGTAAAGCACTTTGAATTGCCTCTTGTTGAGATGTGCTATATGAGCAAACTTGAATTGCCTTGCCTATTGTCTCATCTCCTTACTGTAGTTGTGTTTGTCCTAAATGAATTGACTTGTGAACTCTATATCATTCATTGAACCAACTTGAAACTAAAATATCTCTGACTGACCTGATGCTCCTCTCTCTGTCTCTATAGATCACCATCATCTTCAAGCCCTATGAGGGGTGCACAGACCAGAGGGTCTACCAGGCCGTCACAGACAACCTCCCGGCTGCATTTGATGATGGTACGGTGAGCAGCGGAGAGCCCATCCACATGTCTGTCGGTACAAAAGGTGCCACTGGGAAGGTGCGGGCGCTGTGGATCTCTGAGCGCAGCCCGGGGAACCATGTGGAGCTGCACGCCGGCTACATCGGTGTGACTGTGATCGTGCGCCAGCTGGGCCGCTACCTCACCATGGCAGTGCGGATCCCGGAGGAGCTGGCTCAGGCCTATGACTCCACCCAGGACCTGCAGCTCTGCCTGAACGGCTGCCCCGGGGGAGAGCGCATCGACAAGGCGGGGCACCTCCCCCTGCCCCTCTCCCCTCCGCCGCTCGGCCTGCAGCTACGCCGACCCAGCTACTCCTCACAGACACAAGCATCCCCCTACGGTGCCGCGCAGGTTTTTAGTGTGGAGGGGGCCAAGCAACGCTGCAGGGAGCAGCTAGAGGTGCAGGACATTTACTTCCACTCCTGTGTGTTTGATCTCCTCACCACCGGGGATGCTAACTTCACAGTGGCGGCGTACAGTGCCCAGAAGGACATGGAGAGTCTCCACCCTCACCAGGATAAATGGAGGATCTACCCCCGCGGCTCGGCCCACTCCACCTTACACTCTGATTCTCAACATATCAAACAACTGGCTGTGCTCTTGCTGTGTTTCCTGAGTGTGGCGATGTGAGAGCAAAGCAGGAAGTTTGTTTATGTGTGTGCACTAGAGAGAGTTTGGGAAGTTTTTAGCTAAGGCACTGATACTGAGCACTGACGCCTCTCTCATGTAAAGAGGAAACAGCTGGACGGTTACTGGGAACTCGAGTTTTTGGCCAAAAAATACTGGCAACACTAACTTGACATACCTGGCAGAGTCAGCCTACTGGGTAGTAACTCAAGAGTTGTGATGATGGCTTTCACAATCTGTCTTTATCTTTGGATAAGACGCCTGACAATGACACAAACATGTGTGGGTGAATAGAGTGTGTGGATATACACTCCAAACTGTAAATAGCTTGTCTTCAGTGCACAGTGTAATGGCGTAGAGTTGTTTTTGTGTCATTTGTTGTGATTATTCTTTGATACCTCAGACAGAGGATGTTTGTTTTAAACAGAAGCACTTTATTTCGTTTTATTCCTATAAATCCACATCAGTGTTTTTCCTCTCTCTCTCTCTCTTGCTATCCTCCACCAATCCTCAATGGCTCAAGTTTTGGAGACCATCTGTAATATACATTTTGATCATTTCAAAGTACGTCTTTTAAATTCAAGGAGCTGCCATTTTATTGATATCCATAATTCTTCCAGTAGCTGATTTGACTCAGCATCTCATTTTAATGCGAGTCGGTCAATGTGAGTTGTTCTCTTTTGAATGTATTATGAATATTGTCACAGCAAATGCCATCAGTACAATTCTGTTGCCGTTTGAATTTGTTGTTTTTCCTCAATCCTGATTTCAAATATCTGGAGTGAAAGTGTGTGTGAGAGTGGCTGTGTTGTTTTTTACCAGTTGGTGACATGCTTGGATGTGCTTGTTTTATTCCCACCATTTTGACTAAAGGCTGTGACAGTACGGGCTCATGTATGTTGCTCTTCGTATCTTTGTTGTGTTAATTTGAGCCAAAGACAGATATTGTATGTTTATGTACAAAGGAGATCATAGCTCACCACCAAACCAGCACCGTTATCTTTGTCACACTCTTTTTTAAAGTTGCTACTGTAGATTGTTTTTGATGAGCTGATCCTTCCTGGGATAAGTGTAAGATACTGGAGTGTAGAAAAAACACTGCAAACCACACTCACTGCTGAGACATGTGCTTCAGCAGTGTGTTGTGGGAAATGTATGCCATTTCAAACCTGATAGAAATGATGGCAATAATCAGCTTAATCTCAGTTCTTGGCAATGTAATCTCTTACATCGCGTGTGAGTGTCAGTTTGGTGAAGAGCGACTGGTCAGTGTTGAAATACTTAACTTATTTATGAACGTAGTGTCCTGTAGAGGAAGTTAAGCTCCATATTCTTGCTGTTGGATAATAATTTAAAAAAAATGTCAGATGTGATTGTACTGCCACTTAGTGGTGCTCTGTTGCTATGTCAGTGTGTTACTTAAGGCGCTCAAAAAACAAAAACAGAAAAAAAACATGGAGAAAAAAACTGTGTGCAAGTGTTTTATTTCAAAAACAATAAAGTCAAAATGGTTCAAGTTTACTTCCTGTTTATTAATGTCACAATTGACCAGAACATAAAAAAACAAAACAAGATGCTCATTTTTTTGTTCATTTGGAAACTTCCAAAAACCTTGAGCTAAGTTTCCCCTACATTTTACATAGTATTTTAAGCATTCAAGGAATTCAGGAATAAAGATCAGTGAGAACACAAAAAGATCTTCTTACAAACATAAACACACACACACACACACACACACACACACACACACACACACACACACACACACACACACACACACACACACACACACACACACACACACACACACACACACACACACACACACACACACACACACACACACACACACACACAACAGCATGTGCATTAACCCATCTGTCTGAGGTTAGGCTTTGATCAGATACCAAGATCAGCCTCACAAACAAGATCTGTGCTCAACTGCCACAGTTTGCAACACCTGCGATGTCAATGAGAAAAAGCGCCACAAAAGATTAGTAGAATTTGAGACCTGCTACTCCTGTGATCCTGACGTTGGAGGATTTCCCATTTAATCCAAGAGGTTCCCATCCAAAACTCAGTGTAAACCAAAAGTGGGCTATTCTCAACTTCTTCCAATGCAGAAATCCTTACTTTGCCGACTTCAGTCAAGAAATACTTCCCTTTCTGGGTTAGGTTTCTTTTCAAGGTCACTTGATTTTAACGAAGCTCTCCATTTCAATCATCTGAAAGGTTAAATACATTGAACAGTTACATACAATGTTAGTTAAAACACATTACACACAATAGGACCACACTATGAATGTGAGTGGAAACCTCTCACCACTTAATAACAGCATAAATGGTCATCAAAGTGTTGAAGACGATGATCTTCATGAGAATCAGCCTCAGAGCCAAGACTACCACTGTATTAGTCCACAGACCAACATCTGTAGAAAAAAACCACACACCAACATAACAAACAACATCTGTATGACCCAGAAGGTTTCTTTTTTTAAATAGTGGCAAACCTTTACCTTCTGTTTCTTCACGTTCATAACAGGTGTTGTTTTTGTGATCTAAAATTATAAAAAAGAATTACCTTTGTAAATCAAAAAGTAGCTTTTATTTGTGAGTAGAAATTACACACACCGATGTGTAGTCCTACCTGATGAGTGGTGTCTCCTGGGGACTTTTGGGTGACGTCTGTGACTCGCAGAGCAGCTGTACGATGGCCAGTCACCGGTCGCCACAGTGATGATTGCCACAGCGCTGTTTCCACGATGCTTCCTGTTAACAGCCATGCTGTATGGGGAGCTGGATACCTGGCCTTCTGATGGTGACCTCCAGCTGACCTCTAGGTGCCCTCTCCTGAAGTCGCTCACCATACAGACCAGCAGGGTCCAGCCCAACCTCTCCCCTGACAGGTGGACCGGAGGGGCCAGAGATGCCAGCACATCACACTTTACTCCTCCTTGAAGATGACATACATGAAGAGGATATTAGAATGAAAAAAAAAGATCTTGGTTGGTGACTATCCGACTGAAGGTGATGCCTTGGTTCAAACACAACCAGGCAATGATGTAGAAAAAGTGTATAAAGTAATTGTAGATATGCTGCAATTTGTTTAAACAAACAACAAACAACTTTGCTGTTTTCTTATGGGAACAGAATTTCAAACATGGACATCAATATAACATCACACAACACATCTTACATATTAAAGTATATTTAAATCCTCCATGCATTTATCATTTTTGCCATAAAAGACTCGCTAGTTATTTTTGTGCTGAAATCTTAAAAACCTCCAAAAAACGTTGTGATTTTATGTAGTAACTCTAGCAGAAGGTACCCTAATACAAAAAAAACAAGAATATTGTCAAAAGCTCTTTGTTGCACATTTGTAATTTTTGCTTTATAAATAATATTGACTCTTTATTTTAATTTACTCTTTCTGAAACAGCCATTAATTAAGTTCAAACACTGCAGTTTTCTTTAAATGTACAAAAAGACGAAAGTAAAACTAACTCAGAGAAGTTGATATTTTGGATATTTCTGATTTTCACTAAATACTTAGTGATGTAGAATATTCTTGACCATTGGCTAAAAAATATTCCCTTTTCATAATATAAAATTATAAAAGTATTAAAATGTGAGAACCCTTACCTGTCCACAAATAGATGATAGGAAGGTAATATAAACCGTTGGATGGCTCAGTCATGTCTCTGTTAGCTTTAGTGGCTTCAGTGACTGCTGTCTTGTGTGTGTGTGTGAGTGTTTGTGTGCACTGTGTGTATACGTGTGACTGTGTGAAATGGGGGCATGCCGTTTGGCTTTGCCAGGAGCATTGCATTATGGGGATTGCCATGTCACATTGTTTTGACCTCATACTAACAATGAAACCCCCCCACCCTAACACGAGGCACAGGGGGAACAGTTGGTGCTTATTGTGAGCTCCTTTTACACAATGTGGGCTTTAACTGGTTAAAACATTAAAACTGAGGACCGTAATGTGGAGTCAATGAAGAGTCCTTTCATCTACTGGAAACACCTGCCTACGACTGTTGAGGTAAGAAAGGATGATCCTATCAACACACCCAGATTATAGACAACACCTGCACACACACACACACACACACACACACACACACACACACACACACACACACACACACACACACACACACACACACACACACACACACACACACACACACACACACACACACACGCACACACACACACACACACACACATACCTGCACACACACACAGACACACACACACACACACACACACACACACACACAGACAGACACACACACAGACAGACACACACACACACACACACACACACACACACACACACACACACACACACACACACACCACACACACACACACACACACACACACACACACACACACACACACACACACACACACAGGAACTCATAAGAGAAAGTGAAACTCAACAGCAGGAAATGCAGGGGAGGATGATGAAGCTAAAATAAACGAGGTAAAGCTCTTAACAATTGCTATTTGATTACTGCTAAGACATTTCCAATTAAGTAGCCTACTGTAAATGTGAGCAATACTTTACTAACTGTGACTTTATAACAATATTTGAGACTAATTTACGTTTATGTTGTGAATTACATCTTCCTCACCTTATCAGCATGGTGCAGCACAGCTACTGTGAGTAGCCTTGTTTGAACTGCAGTTATGCTGCTGCAGCTGTTGTCCCCACACAGTTATAGCTGTGTCCTCAGCTTGTTTTGTCCCATGGAAAATCATGTGGTTTGATTGTCACATGTTTGAGTCTCATTCAGATCGAGTTGTGTTGTTGTTAGGGCCTAGCTCAGTTTGCATATTAATAGACCTCTCTCAACAGAATGCAGAAGCCCTTTGTAATATAAAAACATTTGCCTCGTAGGTAGATATATTTTTTCTGCATTGCAAGCTACACTGTATGAATAGGTTTGTAGGCAGATACATTATTTGAAGGTTTGGATAACAACTTAACAGTGGCAGTTATGTATGCTCCAAGTTTGAAAGTGATGAGGAAATAACCTTTGAAACCATAACCATAACCATTACCATACAACTGGCTGAAGGAGGCAAGAAAGAACATTGGTATAATCGTTTCATTTAAATATACATGTGATGTATTTTTAATCCTGCTCAAATGTATTTCAGGTTGCAGAGGAAACGTCCTGGTATTTTTGATTCAGCAGTATTCTGATAGTATGACATCTGGACATCCTCCCGGCAGACATTCAACACTCAACCTATATGCCCCCAGTTCAATAGTGACTTAGCATTTCACACAACCCTTTTTATTTTATTTGAAAGACTTGGTTGAAGGACATTTCATCTATGATGGCCTTGTTGGGGCTATTAGTTCTCTCTCTATTCCATGTGTCTCTGGTTGGCTCACACACAAGTTCACAACACGCATCAAGTCCTCCTCAACCCGCAGGGGAACAGTCTCCTGAAGGATCGGATAACCTCTCGTTCCCTTGGAGCCGTCTTCGTCTGCCAAGGTGCCCTTCATTCTTTTTTTATAACGGCCCCATCTAAGACATAAGTATATTTTGCAGGATCATTGAATTAACAAGTGTATCTTTATCTCAGGTACATCATTCCTCTTCACTACGACCTCCACCTGCACCCCAATCTCACTAGTCTCAGTTTCACTGGCTCAGTGCAGATCCAGATTGACGTCCAGAACAACACAAACTGGGTCGTGTTACACAGCAAGGGTTTGAAGATTTCAAAGGCCACGATATTGGACAAGAACCTCTCTCATCTGTCTGATAAGGTAATGGTAAAAGCAGAGTTAATATTATTACAGCTTATTTGTTCTTGTTACCATTGAATAACACATATTTTCAACTGTCTATCTCCTCTTGTTCTAGGTTCTTCCAGTTCTTCATCACCCTTCCCATGAGCAGATTGGCATTTTCTCTCCCAGGGTGCTCAGCAGTGGGCGAAAGTACTTTCTGTGCATTGAGTTTGGGGCAGAACTTGCAGAAGGCTTCTATGGCTTCTATAAGAGCACCTACAGAACCAGCACAGGAGAGACAAGGCAAGAGATGATTCACAGCAAGCTTAGTAAAATATTCAATAGTCTGTTGTCTATTAAATACAAAAACTATCCTCTGATTTCCAGAACCTTAGCTTCAACTCACTTTGAGCCCACGAGTGCCCGGATGGCATTCCCTTGTTTTGATGAGCCGAGCTTCAAAGCCAATTTCACCGTTCGGATCAAGAGGAATCCAGAGTTTATCTCCCTGTCCAACATGCCTATAGTGAGTGCTGCCTGTATGCTAGGTGTCTCACATGTTTACATATGTTTAAGAAATGGCTAAAATATATGATTTGTGTATTTCAGGTCAAGACAGTTGAAGTAGGTGATGGCCTGCTTGAGGACCAGTTTGATGTCAGTGTAAAGATGAGCACGTACCTCGTAGCTTTTGTCGTCTGTGACTTCAAATCTGTCACGGCAACAACATCCTCTGGGGTGCAGGTGTGGTCTC